GCGCCGCGACGGAGACCTACGGCGCGCCGGCTTCATCGACGGCCCCCTTGCGCCGAAAAGACGCGATCCGCCCCGCCACAATTTACGAGGCACGCCTGTCGACCGCGCAGCCCGAAGCCCCGACAGTCGACGGCGCCACTGCCGAGAAACCTGAGGCGCGAGCGAGGCTCGGATCTCAGATGGCGAATGGGTTCGCGCAGCGGCGCGCTTGGCGACAGCGGGCGCGGGCGGCGCAGACGGGAAGGGGGGGGATTGCCGGGAGAAGCGAGCGAGGACAGATAGGTCGGGCAAGGGAAAAAGAGCCGCGAGGGCGGAAGGGCGACGAGCTCGCAAAATGACACGGGGCAGCGGGGCACATCAGGGGTCGACGCAAAATACGCGGGGGATGTTCAACGGAAGGAGCTGAATAATGAAGGGAAGAATTGCAGGCGAGCAGAGGGCCGAAGAATGCGCGGAGGCCGGCGGCGCCGACGATCGCGCGGAAGCCACGCGTGGAAGAAGGGCGGCGCGATGAGCGGGGGGGGAAAAGGGCAAGGGGAATGATAAAACAAAACCGTTGGGATGATGACGGCAGGAAGACGACGCACTCGCGAGCGCGAAATGGGTGGCCCGAGCGGCCGCTGATGTGCCGGTGGGCACCGCGACGCGCGCCATCATGCCCCTGAAAACTGTTTTTTGGGGCGGGCGCGAACTCAAGCCCAGACGGCGCCAACAAAAATCCGGGCAAGGCTCGGGCCCCGCCTTCGGGCAGCCCCGATGGATCGATCCTGGTTCGCAAATCACCGAATGAACAATGAATGACGCCGCAGGCTCCGTCGAATGAGAACCCTGGAAGCCCGCCAGGCCCCGCCAAAAAAACTGGCCACGGCCCCCAGGCTCCGTCCAAGAACGCGCGTTCCAGCCCCCCCGCCCCCGCCCAAAAACCGTGCCCCGGGAAGTCGCCCAACGGCCTCGCCAAAAATTGCGCCGCAAATTTTTCCGATAGCATTGCCGGAAACCTTTGCCAAAAAATCTTCTCCAATTTCTTTTCTACCTGGAAACTGTAAAAGAGATGCCAGAACAATCGGCGACGATTTCCCGGGCCCCTCGCCGGGCTCCCGGCCAGGCAGGAGAATAGCGAACAAGGGCGCCGGCAACGGCGCGGGGGCAGAGGCCGGGGGGGGGGGGGCGAGCGGCGGTCGAGATGGAGGAGAAGAAGAGGGAGGAGGAAAGAAGAAAAACAAAGGATGAACAGGAAGGGGGGAGACAGAAGGCGGGGGGGAGGGGAAAGGTGAGGAGGGGGGGGGCAGAGAAGGAAAAGCAGGAGAATGGACAACGCAAAGGAAACGCGAAGGAAGAGAAAAAGGAGGGGCAGGGGGGCGAGGCGGGAGCACGAGGAACCAGAGGCTGAACAGGACGAGGAGGAAGAGAGAGGCAAGGAGCTTGAGAACAAGGAACGCGAGGGCGACAGCGGCGGGGGGGGCGGGGGCCGAGAGGGAAGGCAGAAGAACAACGAGGTGAGTAGAAGGACAACTAACACAAAAAAACATGAGAAATGTCACGCGTCGCAATGGAAGCACGACGGCAGGGGACAACGGAAGTAGAAACACGAGGGGCCTGACGAAAAGGAGAAGGGATACGATAGGCAAGAAGTGATGACGGCAGGGGAGGGCCACGGGAAGACATGCTTGGAGACGCCCCAGGAATGGAGAGGACGTCACCAACCCCAATCACAAGATAGGAGAGGAAGGGGAGGAGGAGGTGGGGGAGGAGGAGGGGAGAGGGATGGGGGAGGAGAGAAGGAGGAGGAGGAGGAGGAGGAGGAGGAGGAGGAAGAAGAAACTGAGAAAGGAAACGGAGGAGGAGGAGGAGGAAGAGGAGGAGGAGGAGGAGGAGGAGGAGGAGGAGCAAGCGAGAGGAGGATGAGGAGGAGCGGACGCACCGCGCATGTGGCGCACTTCGTGAAACAGAGCCACCCATGGAAACGCCAGGCTCCTCCGACGCGCAAAAAAAAAAAAAAAACAAGCGGGCTACGACGACATCGCTGACTTTTCTGGGGGTACCGTTGAACGCCCCAATATCGCGACGCGGCCGAAGCGCGGCCGCAAAACGCCGACGATGCGGAGCAGGAGCGCGAAGCAACACCCACCATAACGGTGGGCAATCCCAGCGAATCCGCAGAACTCGCGTGGCCCTACATTCGCTGCGTCATGTGCATGCATGCGTGCATGGGCACAACCCAATATTCATATCGCGTGCTCTTGCGTCTCGCCCGTGGCAGCCATATTCCAAGAAATGTGTTTGGCGCGTTGCGAGCGGAAGCCCGCTGGCCTGCGCACGTCGCAGGAACAGCAACAAACGCCGCGCATCTACGCGCGCTGGGCGACGCAGCGCGGAGGCGGCACGATGTCGGCCCGATCGCTTTGAAGCGCGAATGCGCACCGCAAGATGAGCACAACGTCCAAATTGCACCAATTTAAAGGAAGCCGAAAGGACCTTTCCCCGCCGCGGGTCGCCGAATCTCGGAAGGCACGCCAAACGCATAAAAAAATGTCTAAAATAGTTTCCGCTGTCGGTTGGACCTGAGATTTCGCGCGCGGGCCCCTCGAGCTCCGGGCCGTCCAGCTTCGACAGCTGCTCCTTCGGCCGGCCGCGCGTCGTTGTCCGCCTTCGACCGCAGAGCACGCTGAGCCCGGCTGCCCAGCACCTTCGCCTTCGCGATCGCGTCTGCCGCGCCGCCCGAGGCGGGGGCATCGGCCGGCGCCGCGGGGGGGCCGAGCGCCCGCCGCAACTGCGCAGCCCGCGCCGCGGCATAGTCGTCGAGCGACTCGAGCTCGACTCACACCACGGCCACGCTGACCACCTGCACGATGGCGATCCCTGCGGAGCCCGCCACGGCCACCGGGTCAGGAGTCTCGGCCCCGAGCGGGAAGCCGCGGGCGGGGTTCGCCACCGGCCAAACACTGGGCCTCGCGGGCGGGGGCAGCGGGGTGGCGGCGCCGCCCTCGACGTCCTCGCCGCGGTGCGAGCCCCACAGAGGCGTTCGTGTGCCTCCGACGGGCTCGGGCGCCTCAGGCTCGTCGGCCAGCGCGGGCAAGGGCGCCTGCTGCTTGCCGCGCGGCCGCCGTGCATGGCCAGCCGCGGGAGCCGCTCCGTCGGCGAGGGCGTCCCCAGGCGCGGCCACTGGCACCTCCATCGCGGCGCGAAAAGCAGCGGCGCGGGCGACCAGCCTCTGCGCGAGCGACGGCGCGGCGTCGCCCGAGCGCGTCCTCCCGTCGTAGAAGAGGTTGGCGTCGGTCTCCCGCACGCCGCGCGGCAGGGCCCTCGACCGCGGTAGCACCGTCACGCGGCGGAACACCTCCGGGTCCGCGTAGATCTCATCGTACACGTCGAAGTCTGGGGTCGCCGAGACCCAGTGCTCACGGAAGCGGCGAACTACCTGGCACAGCAGTCTCTCGTGATGCAAGTCGTCCCCGTGGTACTGCACCAGCAGCCGCGTGCCCTCAGTGAGGGACTCCAGCCCTGCTGGCCCCAGCATTGCGCCGCCTTTCCTGCGCCGCGCGCCGCTCCTCGCTCAGCACCGCGTTCGCCTCGTCGTCGTCTGACCCTGCTGTCAGGGCTCCTGCGCGCTGCACCCCAGCACCGCCAGCAGCCTCGCGCCACGCCCACCGGGCGGCGCGGTCAGCGGCCAACCCCACGGCCACGCCGAGGAAGAAAAATCCTCCTCCCGCGAGTCCTGGGCGCCCAACAGCCCAGCGGCCTGCGGGCAGTCCACGGGCTCGACTGGCACCCCGGACGAGCAGGTGGGCGAACCGCACACCACGTCCGGGCAAGGAGCGAAGGGCACGGAGGGCACGATTGCAGGGCCGAGTAAGGTGGAGGGAGAGATGGGACAGCTCTCGGAGCATTCCTCCGATCTGGACCATATTCATCAGCGATTGAGCGCAGAAGGCATCGGAACGGATGCGAGCTCAACCGATTGAACCGATGGCGGAGCCCCGCCCGCTTTACTCAGGATGCCCGTGCACAAAACTACAATCTCACTTTCGATCTCAATGGGACACCACGGGACACCACGGGACACCACGGGACACCAGCCGATTTCAGTATCGATACCACTATCGATCTCACTTTTTGGGACACCGCAGGACACCTCAGCCACTGTCGATCTCATTCAACGGGACACCACGGGACACGACGGGACACCTGTCGATCTCACTATCGATATCACAATCGATCTCACTTAACAGGACACCACGGGACACCTCGGGGCAACACATCGATCTCAGTATCGATATCAACATCCATCTCACTATCGATCTCACTATCGATCTCACTCAACGGGACACCACGGGACACCACGGGACACCGCGGGACACCGCGAGCCACCTCTGGACGGACGGACGGACGGGCGGGCGGGGGAGAATCATTTGTCTTGACTTCGCCCTAGCAGCGGCGGAATCTACGGGACACCACGGGACACCGCGGGACACCGCGAGCCACCGCCGAACGGGCGGGCGGAGGAGAATCATTTGTCTTGACTTCGCCCTAGCAGCGGCGGACACCACGGGACACCACGGGACACCTCGGGACATCGCGAGCCACCGCCAGACGGGCGGGTGGAGCATAATCATTCGTCTTGACTTCGCCCTAGCAACGGCGGGTTCATTCCTCTCGCGCGCCCACGCAGCTTCGCCTCGCCCGCACGCACGACACGAACGAAACGAAACGATTTCCTGGTTGGGGGTCTCAGTTCCATGCGATCTCACCCGATATACATACACACTAAAAAATCCCATTTGCAAACATGTATCAGACGCCCCGAGAGCCCTCCGAGGAGACCCCAAGAGGCATCTATTGGAACTCTGACCCAAAGTCAAAGCACGCTGGCAGAACATCGTCGTCGTCGTCATCGTCGTCGCCGTCGTCCTCATCGACGCTCCCAGCCGCCGCCGCCCGCCGCCGCAGGCGCCGGCGCCGGCCCAGAAAACGAAGTCGTCGCCCCCGCCGCCGCCGCCAGCCCCAACCCCCCCCTCCAAGCGACCACAGAACGCGCAATTTCTTAGGTCAAGAACGCCTGAGGCAAGGGTGGCCAGTAGTAGTCGGAAATGTGATGGAGATGGTGATTGTGAGGTCTTGGCCAAGCAACCAACCTATGGCGCGCCTCCTGCTTCACACTCTCAAGGAGACTGTGCTGGACGTTGTCTGCCAAAGGTCTGCAACTTCTTCCAATGTTCTTGGGCGACCTTCCGCGTGTTCTCCAGCTTGCCGCGGTCACCGACGAGCAGGCTCTCTTGGAAACTGTTCAAGGCCTCGATGGTCCTGATCTTCCACCCAACATCTCCTGCACAGGAGAAACACACAACACATTGAATACGTTCAGACAACCTTGGTGGTTCCCCCTTCTGCCCCCCCCCTTCGCATATTGGCGCCCGAAGCAAATCTAACAAACATTGTCGACCCTGGCTCCAGGCGTCGCATCCTTCATCTCCTGCCACAAGATCGACGCCCTCTCCCGGTGCTGCCCACCGTGTGGATGCGGGTGCAGACCACTCAACCGTGTGCCTGTGATCTCCTGGCCCTCGGCCTCCTCGCCTTCCGCTGGGACCTGCTCCGCGTCGTGCTCTGCGCGAGAGCCCGAGAAGCCAAACCTCTTCAGCATGACCTCTGTCGTGCTGCCGAATACGACCAAATAGACGCATATTATCAAGAACGTCGTGTTGATAATGGCCGCCTTGTAGTCGCACCACTCCGAGTCGATCTCCAGCGCAAGGACCAGCGCGATGCCACCACGGAGCCCGGCATGCCACATCATGACCTGATGAGCGAACGTGAGCTCCTGGCTTCCTGGGGCGCCAACCTTTCGCTTCACAGCGTTGGAGATGAACGCGCACGTGGAGGTTGACAGTCCTCGTGCTGCTAGACAGATGAATACCGCAAACAAAGCGAACCAGACAGCCCGTACGGAGCTCACCAATGCAGACGAGACACCACACACCATGAACACCATCGTGTCGGACATCTCGGCCGCGACCTCCAAGAAATGGCTGGTCGTCTCCAGCCCGGCATCCTCAAGCAACTGCGACCCATACATCCTGAACATCATGCCCGCCCACAAGTTCGAAATGATGCCGGACAGCCCCATGCCTTCAGCGAGGGCGAATATGAACCACGCGCTCCCCGCAATGTACAGCGTCTCTGGTACAGTGTTGCCAGGCAGCCTTGCGCAACGCAGGAGGAATATTAAGACGCACGAGGTGACGTGTCCGAGGGCCCACGACCCAAACAGGAGCTTTAACACCTGGAGCGCAATGTGGTATGCTGTCAAATTCCCCCCTTCGTTCAAGGCCTTGAAAAGGACGATGGCAACCGCATCGTTCACCACTGACTCCCCAAATATCATCGTGTGCAACAGCGGCTGCGACACGTCGAGTCCGAGCTTTGCGAGGGTGCTGAGTGTTGCAACTGGGTCTACAGCGGAGATGAGGGCAGCAAATGCAAAATTCGAACGAACATCATCTACCATGTGGAATTCGTACGCTCCAAGGGTACTCAAACAGAGCCCGACGAAAAATGTCGCTATCAGCGTGCCCAGAACTGCGAAGATTGCAATGTGCTCGATCTGGGACATGAAATTCATGTGGTTTAGAGTCCACCCGCTGGAGAAGATGATTACAGGCAGCAAACCTAGATTCAGGAACAGAGAAGTGGCTCTCATATACCAGGCAGTAGAGATCACACCTTCAGAGATCATGACGCGCAGCATGAACCCCCCGATGCACGAGACAAGAATGGTCCACGCACTCATGGGGACAGCCGCCAGGGGCCTCCACTGAGCAAACGCGGCGCCCACCAGGATGCAGAGGAGGAACCCTCCGAAGCCCGGCGCGAGCATGCTCTTCGCCACGCCGTGGTTCGTCTCCAGCACCTGAGCTACACGCAACAATCACCCCAGGCAAAGGTGCCCCTTGGTGCGCGGCGTTCAGGGTTCGGGGGCCAGGGGGGCCGTGGGGCGAGGGCCAAACTCAAGCGCGCACGGCAATGCTGGGGATGACCCCCGCTGGCTTTCCGGCCATGATTTGGGCCTCTGGCGGCCGCACGGGAATACCCGCCCAACCACAGAACCCTTTCGAAGAGGCACACATGCTGAAAAGCACCCTGAGGCCGGACAACCTGCGGAAACCGACGAAAATGCCCCATGGGCCCTGGCCAAAAATCCGTCCGAGCGAAAGGTCACTGTTCCCAGACCTCCGACGTTAACTTTTTTCACAACGTCGACCCCCAGAGGTTTAGACCACTTCCCCCAGACGAGCGTTGCATTCTGAGTTCATTTGTTGACGGTCCTGGGGCCCAGTAGGGGCCCCTCGAGGCCGAAAAAGGCCAGACACCGTCCTTCCTGACTCGCGACGCGAAAATGTCACTCTTCCGCGCAGCAGAGCGCCGAATGGCGTTCATGATCTCCGCCCGGGTGCGCTGCGAGCAACTCCGCGTGCAGCCGGCCCCGCTCCCGTGGAAGACCGGCGCTGTCCTCGTGGGGCCAGATGGCAAAGGTCCCCGCGGAGCCGTTGGGACCAAGGGGCGCCTGGTGCAGAGGCGGCTGCTGCCGCCCTGGCGGCCGCGCTGACCTTAGCCCGGCGGCGCGCCGGGGGGAAGGCAGCGGGCCTTCTCAGAAAGCTCAGAAGTCATCCTGCCGAGAAACTGTCGAAGCTTTCTACGAAATCACAGAGGGCTTCTCAGGAAGCCGAAGGGCCTCTCAGAAGCCCCGTGGCCTTCTGAGAAGGCCTGCCACCTCCCACTTACCCGTGGCGCGCCGCCGTTTAGCGGGCGAGGAAACTTGGCCACCTAACTTCGCGTACCCCGCCCCGCCATGCGCGACGAGCGACGATCTTCGCGCCCTCGCGCCGCCCCCTTCGAGAAAGCCAGACCGCGACGCCCGAAGTACGATAACCTTCGCGCCGCCAGTGACCTAGCGAACGTCATGAGGAAAATCCTGGAGACCTCGCGCGGCAACTGAACACCAACTTACGTCGGATTCACGTCGCCTTTGCGTCGGGCCATCGCCGCGTCAACGTCGTCCCATGTCTTCCGGGGCGGACATGTGGACTGGATGATGCAACCATTTCGTGCCTCGCGAAACCTCCCTCATTTCCCTCATGACAGGAAACGGTCTCAAATCATATTTCCCGCCATCGGAGACGCCTGAACAGGATGCGGCGGGGAAGGCGGTACAGCGGGATTTAGACTTGTCAATCAATCACCCTGGGACATGCGTCCCAAATGGCGGAAACTTTCATGCTGTGTACCGTTATCCGTCCGCTGGTGACCTGCCCGCCGAGGTGGGCGGCAGCCCACCGATGAGGAGCAGGAGTAGCAACAACACGCTCGGGACGCCCCCCGCGCGGTGGCATGACATGCGCTGGAGCGCCGTCCAGCAGCGCTCCGGGGCCACCCAGGGGCTGAGTGTAGTTCGTCGGAGACAATATCTACGTTGGTGGGGATCTTAGAGCTGCCGACTCGAGCCCGTGCGGCCTGACAAGAAGCGTAGACGGCGCTTACAGTGTGCCAGTTGCGATGGATGGCAACATGTCAATCATCGCGGTGTTGATGGGATGGTTGATTGGCAAATAAACAACCCCACCCCTTTGGGAACGGACCTAATTCAAGAGGCCCAACACATTAGGGATAAGGATCTTTCCAGCCAGCAGATGTACCAAAACAAAACACCAATATGGTTTTCCCCTCATGCAAAGACGGAGACCTAAGTTAGGCTACGTCTTCATTGCGTTACTGGGTGTCTTTTTGATTATCCATGAATGGTGGCTGCTGTTGTACCGAAGCGAGCGGGAGCGCAAGCATCTGGCAGTCGTTCCACGCGGGGGAGCACTACGCGAGACAAACGTAGCCGCCTGCAGAGAACGAAATAAATAAACATCGATGCGAATGGACCCTGACATCGAACTTATGAACGCCACGGGTGAAGGAGACGAAGAGGAGGATCGGGGCAGCCGAGAGAACTGGATAGCAATAACAGACTTAGCGAACCAACTGGATGCAACTGGTTTTCGCGGCGCCTCCAAGCACCAGAGGCGGCCATGGATCGAGGAGAAGGCCTGGCGGCGGAGCCGAAAGCAGTTGCACGCAGCAGACCCGGCTTGCTCGTCACAGGGCTCTCGAATAGCAATTCGGGCCCCCAGCGGCCTGTCAAGACGATTCGGGCACCTTTTTCTTATCCTTCCTCGGAGACCCCGAAGCATCATGTAACATCAGGGGCAAGCTGGGTAGCGCGAGTACTACTTCCGCCACCAGCTAACCGAGCGCCCGAGGCTGCAACTGCTCCGTCGCGCGCACGAGCGCTCGCCGCGAAAAAGGCGTGGGCAGAGCAGACGGATGACTAGGAAGAAAACGAATTCGAGGAGGACGAGGAGACGGAGGAGGGGGGAGGAAGGGGCGAGAGAAAGGGGGACCGATGGGAGGTTAGGGGGAGAAGCGGAATGAAAACAACATTGCAGCTGGACGCACATGACTCCGGCGCGTGGAGCGTGGACCCCGAAACAGTGACACTCTGCGATCAATGGGATGCAATCCTTAAGGGGCAAACTGGTGGGATACAGTGCGGAGTGAGACCTCATGGGGTCGTAACGCCGCGCACCGCCAGACAGACAGAACAACGCTTCAATGCAAGCACTGCTCAGAAAACACAAATAATTCAAAATTCACAGCGAGGCCTAGAAAACTGCGCACACTTTCCAGCAAAGTGGTTTCCCAGCGCTGCGCCAGCCATGCCAGCGTAGTGTTTTGCAAGTGCGACAGAGTGGTATGAAACTGAACCAGCTTCGTGGAGGTTTCTGACCAAACGACGCCAAGGCTGGGAAAAAAAACGAATATCGATTACCATTGCCGCGGAGCCCACTCTGAACCCACCCTCGCCACCGGGTCCCTCCACTATGCGCCCTGCGTGCGAACCCTGGCGGCCTGGCGCGTGTGCCCAAAGGGTCGCCGGGCTCTCGAAAAAGCATTATCCGCACACTCGGCTCAAGTTGAACGAAAACGGCAACCAATGCCCGTAACATGATAATATTATGGTCCTGACTTGCGACCAGGACGCGGTATTGAGGAGGCAGCGATGCCCGCATAGCGGTGCAGGTGGAGGCCTTTTAATGGGCAGCGGGTAACTAGACAAGCGCGCCCCACTGCTCGCAAAAGAATTGCTAACAGATGGCCTGGATCCCACCCCGCCGTGCGCCGCGCCACCGCCGCGGCGTGGCGGTAAAAGGCCTCACGGTGTGACGCCCGCTGCCGGGGCGCCCTCCGCAACTCCGCGCGGCGGGGCGGGCCGCCGCCGACCGCCGGGCGCCGGCGGCCCCGCGGGCGCGACGGGCCCCAGGGCCAGAGGCGCGAAGCCCTGCTCCACCACGGAGCGGACGTCGTCGGCCTCCATCCTCTGAGTGGGGTCGACCACCAGCATCCCGGTGAGCATCGCGCTGCAGGTGGGCAGCAGTGAGCGGAGCTCTGGGCGGCAACTCTTCTCCAGCATGTTGGCAACCGTGGCGGGCATCTGGAAGAAGGTCTGGATGCACTCGGTGAACGTTGTGCTTTCGCCCTCTGGCCGCACCTCTGGTTCTGCGTCCTTGATCGCGAGCTCCACCACGCGCGCCCCGCAGAATGCCTCCGCGAGCACGACGCCCAGGCTCCAGATGTCCGCTGGGCAGGGGTCGTAGGCGGGACCATCTCGGAGCACCTCTGGGGCGGCGAAAGGCACGTTGCCGCAGGGGCTCTGGCGCATCTTGCCGTCGTCCTGGATGAAGACGGAGAGGTCGAAGCCGGCCAGCTTGATGGTGATGGTCTCGGGCGTCTCATTCACGATGATATGTTCTGGCTTGATGTGTGTGAACTGGTTCATGGTGCGGTAACCGAACTCTGAATTACCGTGCCCAACTCAAGTTCACGTGCTCACTGAGGCCTCGGGTAACTTGTCGTATTTTTCTTGATTGAGATAGTAGCGTTCATCACCTCCATGTCGTTCTTCTTCTGTCACAATGCCCGTGCACGCAGTGCCAGCAAAGCGTCTGATCTTCTTACTGTCCATTCCCTGGCAATGAAAGTGACACAAGGGACGTCGACAGGCAAATCTCATGGTGAAATTCCGCTGCGTGTCAAAAAAGAGATGATGCCGTATTTGATTGTCCTTGTCGCCCACGTTGTACTCCTCAATGAACTTGGCGTGCGTACTATATCTGAGTGTTGAGAGCTTTTGCCACTCTCCCAGCGTCGCTTCTCCCAACTCCCATCGCCCTGGGCACGCTTTCAGTGCGTGGCTCCACGCGACGATTTGTTATCCTTCTGCTCTTCGCAAGTCAATGTCTCTTCCGCATCTTTCACATCTCAAGACGGTGGCCAGCGAATTGTCAAACGGGTTCGGGAAGTAGTGCATGGTCTCGTCGCCCTTCGCCGTGATGTTGTGGTATAGCCGCTTTTCTTCTTTCCTCCGATGAAAACTTGTCTTGAGACTCTTGAGGGGCTTCCTGTCATCGTCGGTCAGCACATCCGTAAAAGCAGCTTTCAACGTGTTGTGATTCGGTCTTATTCGTGGACGTTCTTTGGTTTGCAGCACTCCGTCCTTCCTCTGACCTCTACTGTGTGGTGTCTGCTTGCCTCGCACTCGTCGAGACCGATGTACTTGAGGATTTCCTTGCCAAGCTGGCTGGACACTGTGTGCTGGTAAATACTGCAACGACCATGGCTGAGGAGCTTCCAGCGCCAAACCCACCGTGGCAATATTGAAGAGAAGTGAGTTGGTCGCTTCTGGCATAATCATGCGGAGTCGACCTTGGATACCTGTGGACAGCTTGAGGCTCAGCGGGAAGAGATGCCGACATTTTTTCAGGGGTGGGATAATTACCTGTCCCTCCCTCTGCTTTTTGTCATATGTCGTGACCTCGGTTATCTTCACTCCGAACTTTCTGAACAAATTATTGGACGCTGCGATGAACATCTTAGCCTGGGTCCCTATCGAATTCCCCGAGGTTCCTGATCGTAGTGCCATATGCTCGCCCGTTGCATAGACAAAGTCGATCAGGGCCACGATCGAAGAAGTGGTGTAGGCTGCCGCGCTCTCGAATCTCTCAGGCGCAGCTGGCGGGTTGGGATCGATGTACGTATTCTGCCAATACCACAAGATCGCCTCTGCATTGCTCAACTTGTATATCCAGTCTACTTTGGTGAATCTCAAATATGTTAGCTTCTTCCCTTGGAGGTGCGGTTGGCCTGGGTGGACCTCCCTCGGCTCCCACCAGAAGTTGGGGAAAACCTGCTCTTTTTTCCCAACCATCCTGTGGTGTTGGGTCCTCGTTTTGAAGAGACGGTGCCCCGCGTTCCTCCTCCTCCCGCTGCCCCCTCCCCCCTCCTCCCATTATCCTCACCATCCTCATCATGCTCATCATCATGAGTATCGTCATCATCATCATCCACATCGTGGTTGTCGGTCATCATCATCATCATCATCACCATCATCATCATCATCATCATCATCATCATCATCGGCACACCCCTCACACGCTTCGTGGCCCCATCGGGAGCTCCACCGAAGGCCCAAATTGCTGCGTCCGCATGCCGCCGCCACCCAATTTTGGCACACCCCTCACACGTTTCGTGGCCCCATAGGGAGCTCCACCGAAGGCCCAAATGGCTGCGTCCGCATGCCGCCGCCGCCCCATTTTGGCACACCCCTCACACGCTTCGTGGCCCCATAGGGAGCTCCATCTCAGGCCCAAATGGCTGCGTCCGCATGCCGCCGCCACCCAATTTTGGCACACCCCTCACACGCTTCGTTGCCCCATCGGGAGCTCCATCTAAGGCCCAAATGGCTGCGTTCGCATGCCGCCGCCGCCCCATGTTTGGCACACCCCTTACACGCTTCGTGGCCCCATGGGGAGCTCCATCTAAGGCCCAAATGGCTGCGTCCGCATGCCGCCGCCACCATTTTTGGCACACCCCTTGCACGTTTCGTGGCCCCATGGGGAGCTCCACCGAAGGCCCAAATGGCTGCGTCCGCATGCCGCCGCCACTCAATTTTGGTACACCCCTCACACGCTTCGTGGCCCCATAGGGAGATCCATATAAGGCCCAAATCGCTGCGTTCGCATGCCGCCGCCGCCCCATTTTGGCACACCCCTCACACGTTGCGTGGCCCCACAGGGAGCTCCACCGAAGGCCCAAATGGCTGCGTTCGCATGCCGCCGCCACCCCATTTCGGCACACCCCTCACGCGCTTCGTGGCCCCATAGGGAGCTCCACCGAAGGCCCCAGTGGCAGACCTCGCATGCCGCCCGCCACGACGACAGCCCCACGGGGGACCTCACGGGCCCGCTGGTGTTCATCGAGCCCCGCACGTCGGAGCCGTTCACCTTCCGCGCCTCCAAGGTCACCCGGACGGGCTTCCCGTTTTCACACGGCAGGGTCATCACCACGGTGGCGTGCCAGGGGCGCACCACGCGGGAAGGCGGCGGGGCGGGGGAACGGCGCCACCGGGCAGTCTGCGGCCGAACCCTTCGAACGCGAGCGGTCCGCAGCCGGACCTTCTCGGTCCCGTGGACTCTCGCCCTGGGCCGTCGGCTGTCTTGCGCGCCGCTCCCTCGACCGACGCCGCCCAGGCGTGATCCTGGACTGCGGCCGCCACGAGGTCGGGAACGGCAAGAAGGAGGACGACGACTGGTGGCTGGAGCTCTACGTGCTGCTCTCGCGCGCCACGCGCCACGAGGATCTCCTGCTCATGCGGGCGCCGCTCATCGAGTTCTTCCTGGCAGGGCCGCCGGAGGGCTTGCGGAAGCAGCTGGGGCAGTTTGCTGCGCGCACGAAGCGGTGCAGGAGGGAGGCGACGGCCCTCGCCAGAGAGCTGGGCTTCAGCGAGTTCATCCGCGAGGCCTGACCTGGGGAGCGGCCCCGCACGAGCCAGCGGCGCGCGCTGGTTGTCGCTGACGCTTGGATGACCCCAGCTCGTCGTCGGGATTTCTCGCCAGAGGATGACCGGCGCCTGTCGGGGGATTTCACCCAGATCGCGCCATTTTCGCACGCCTCGCCACGCAGTACGGGGGCGCTATCCGTTGACTCAGAGTCGCAGTGGACAACCCCCGCGCGTCGATGGGATTCCCTCGGGATGACCAGACCGCGTCGGCGAGGACTTCCCAGGCACTTTCGCGCGGCGCCGCCTGCGCGCTGCATTCTGCGCGGCTGGCTGTCGGTCTGGAGGCAAAAACGTCTCCCCTCGTCTCTCGCTCCTCCTGCTTCCCATCGCTTCTTGACCGCGCGCTTCCCCGTCTCGTTTCTGCCGCTGCTGACCTGCCTTCGACATCTACACGGCGTCTCCGTCACCTCTTCCTGCGTGCCCAGTAACAGGTCTCATGATGCGATGATGATACTGATGTGGTGGCTCGCCCCAGTGAGCTCTCCTCCGCCCGCCACCTCCTGCCCGCGCTGCCCTGTGCCTCGTCCATGCAGTGGCGCGGTGCCAGGAGAAGAGGGGCCTAGTTTGCGTGCCCCCTCCTTCGTCTCATATCCGTGCGGTACTCGCAGCTGCATATGGTTGGGTCCTTCGCCAGGCGAATTGCCCGTGTACCTGCTGTGCTTTATGCCGTCCCCGCCGATGGCAGGACTGAGGTCACTGTGCGTACTTGCTTTTCTCCTGGGTCTCGAGCTCCTGGACCTGGTTGAGATGGCCCTGGGGTTCGCGGTGTAGGTGTCGTAGAGCTCCTAGTACCTGGCCTGGTAGGTGATGGTGTCGCCATAGGCCCTGGTTCACTCTGTCCTGGTAGCCCTCCCCCTCGTCGTGTTCCCCGAAGCCGTCGCCGAACTGGTGCAGTGTGGGGTTCTGGTGGTAGTGATATCGGTATTGGAGAATGTGGTAAATTCGACTGCTGCTCCGTGTCCTCGCCCATTCCTCCTCCATAACCGAAAACGTCGGGCTCCTCCTCATACATGGCCTCTTCCGCGTACCTATCCTCCTCATACTGGTGAAGGGCTTGCTCGCTTAGTTCGGCTTGCTGTTGAAGATACCCCTGTATGTGTGCTCCTCGATTGCCTTTCCCGAAGAGTTTAAAACCTGCTGCTGTTCGATATTGTATCACATCCAATAACATGCTTTGTATGTCTTGAGCCAGCTTCACCCTCTTTTTGTATATTTCAAAGATCTGCTCGTCTATCGCGTTCCTGAGAGCTGCCTGTACCGCGCGCTTATCGGCTTGTTCGTTGTGTAGTCTCGCCTGTCTGCCAGCAGATAATTCATTTTCGATCATGTCCTTTGTTTGGTGACTCCGAACTTTGCGGACCTTGAAGTTTTCCTCGCCTTTCATTCGAATGGCAATCTGTATTCTTCTCCACAAGTCTCGATGTGATTTGAATGTGGTGTTCCTTCTCTGAATGATGGCGCGCAGGCCGCGACAGACGTAGTCGGAGTCGACAACATACACCTGGCGGGCCCAAGCCCATGCTGCCCAGCGCAAGGCCGCGCGGACCTCCGACCTCTGGGCAGTCTGAACCGAGCCTCGCAGGGTGTCCGTGGCGTTGTGTGAATGCCCCTCCCCATAAAAGAGGCCCCATCCAGCACGTCTTAGCCGCGTATCTGTTTGCCCTGAAGGAGCAGCCCCATCACCAGCCACCACGGGGTATCCCTCCGAATATACGCTCATCTCGTCCCCCTCGTCTAGTTGAGGAGGTGGAGGGTCCGGGTCTTCTTGTACTCCCAGTGCAATTTCCGCAAACTTGTTGTCTAACTCACCATCATCCGCAATGATGCCTGTCAGACGTGTGAAAAGAGGGGCAGCGTTGATCTCATCCCCCGTGTATTTTTCAAACAGCCATCGTCTCGCAGGTGCATGATGTTCGCACTCCCAGAGGGCATGCTGCACTGTCTCATTGAGTGGCTTGCGGCAGGAAGGGCAATCGGCGTTCTCAAGATATCGAGGCACCAACTTGTCAGATGTTATCAGACCTGCCGACCAGAGAAGTCGACATGCTGCTCGTCGTGCAAAGGACCACTTGAATGGTGATAAAGCTGCACCACCAGGGGTATCCTGTGCATCATGACGTTTGACGTTGCTACGACGTTGGCGGTATTGCTGCACCGTGGCTTCGTAGTCGATTCCAACTTCCGTCCCAAAGTACTCGATACGTGGGTGACGGTCTCGATGTGTGTGGATGTGAAAACCTGTTTTCCAGACGACTTTTCTGAGGTCAGCTCTCAAGATGTGTCGAAAAAGTAAATCATCTGACTCCAGAAGGTGGATATTTCCCCCAGTCGGCCGAGTGACCACAAAGTCTGCATCTAGACTCCACTTGAGCTCGTGTAAGATAATGAGAAAGATCTTTACTGGCCCGTGCATATCATCCATGTGAGGTGGTTCTTTGAGGTACTCACGGATAATAATTTTGAAAGCTGCCAAGATGTGTGAACGCTTCTGGAGCAAGCGCCGCACCACCACCAGTGCCCAGTATCTAGATGCCATCTACGGATCTATGAAATGCCCGTGGGCCGCCAGTGTGAAAGTTGTGATTCGCGTTCGGTACATCGTCTTTCCTGCCAGCATCACCCGATGCACCCGAGCCGCCATGTGTTGCAGGGTAGTGGAGTTATACAGATGCTGATCGCAACCGTAGAACCCCGTGGGTGAAGCGTGCAAAGTTAGGCGCCGCTCGCGGAAATCGAACGACTGGGGTCCTCGATCGATTCGTGTCAGAACGTCCGTGTGTTTGTCGACCCGACGGCTGGCTAACCTATTCCTTGGTTTCAGCGAAGCTGCGGTTCCGTCTGGGAGAAGACCCCCGACAAGAATAACCGCCCGTGAACATTTCAGCGGGCTATTGCTAAAAGCCTTTTCCACTGCTGATCGAAGTTGAGAGAGAGGTGCTCGCCAAAGCCTTGGTTTTGCTTTTGTTGAGCCTGCAGCCTGTGCATTTGCCGAACTCCTCGCACTCAGCCAGGGCCAGCTTTCCATTGTCAAGAACTTCATCTATGTCAAATCCTCGCACGTTAATTGATGAGTCATCGACGAACCCAGCGGTGCTGCATCTGGTCTTCTCCGCAATGGATCTCGACCATACTGCCATCAGCGCTGAGGACACCTGTATGCTATAATTCGGTCCTTGGGCATACCCTCCCGCACGTGTACGCGAGGTCTGCTCCACGGCCCTAACTTGAAACGATACCTGGCCGTGTCTTGCAGGCGCGCCTCCGCAGCAACATATCAGCGAGCATACACTGTGGTATCTTGATGGTCCATATGAGCTTCCAGTAGGCGGCCTCCGATAGATCTATGGATTTGGTAGAAGAATTCCCCCCGATCTATGCTCAACGTCAGCGAGTGATGTCCCGGGAGCCTGGCCAACTCGGTCTCGACAGAGTGACTCATCGAGACCTCTTGAGCTTCGTGACCTGCACGGGCTCCATGCATAGATGTTGGTAACCAGGATTCCCTCCAGCTCTCAGTATTTCGCCATCTTGCTTTCTCCCAACAGGTTATGAGAGGCGTGTAGTTATTGATGATCATTGTCTTGGCTGCATCAGGAAGAAGGGAATCTTCTTCTCCGTTGTCATCTGCGTCGGGGATGTCGGTCTTGCGCAAAGCGCTGGCATATACTTCCAACAGAGAATCTGGCCAATCCCCTTCCAGCTTCGATGTACCGAAAGACATCGCAAAAGAGAGCCGTGATCCGTTTGGGTAGTGCTTTGAGCTCATGCACTCGAAATCCGCAGCCAGCCACTGCTCGTGATGAGTTCAATTATTGAATAGCTTCGTGGTAATCGTCAGGATCGAATTCTGCTAATTTGCACGGCTTCTCTTGAATGAGATGATGGTACTTGGCATGGAACTTGTCCCACGTGATGGACGGGTCGCTCTTATTGAAAATCGGGTCCCACGTCTTCCGTAGTTCATTCAGTACATCATCAGGTCTGATGGCATAATGCTTTCCGTGATTGGAAATCGTGTTCTACGTCGGTGCCTCCACTCTGATTGCAGTGATGGGTTCATCTCGTGGAGGTCGCATGTGATTCTTGAGTGCTGCACGGTCGGCTTTCGAAACTGTCGTAGTCGTCGCGGCAAAGAGTCGAGCCCGCCATGCTTGTAGTCTCGTTTCCAGTCCATGTCGATCGTACTGGTCGATCTGGTCTTCGATCATCTTCTGCAGAGCTTGACATTGCCTCAAATCAGGTACTGCTACATCGAAGAAATATGTGGTGAGTCTCATCCTGGTAAAGTCATCCACTATATTTGCCAATCTGTTCATAAGTGCCTTCCAAATCTCGGTCGTCGGGGCCGGGTGGATGGTGTACTTGATGATCCTTTCGCGTACTCGTCTAAGGTTCTTGTACAAACGTGCCGTCCGATATGTCCAAGGATCTTGAGGTTTGGACTCAGAGGCTGCCCGACAAGCCAAGGGCTCCTGAGCCAAAGTGAGCTCTCGACATCGCCCTCTGGTACCCTGGAAATTGGGGTCTGCTGTGCTGCATCTTTCTTCGAGGTAATCTTCAGCGATCAAAGTGGCCACCTCCAGCATACGTGTGGGGTTATTCAAATCCCTCGTTTCCTTCAAGTGGCTTTCCCGTCGCTGAAAGGTCCTGTCCAGTAGATACTCATGCTGGTCCTCATCCAAAGAGGATACCTGCTCAACAGGGAAGGCTGTGGGCATCTTGGGAACCCAACGCACCAAGTCCAGGGGCTCGGTGGTCAGCGTGATTTTTAAAGGGAGGTGTCCAGGGATACGGGCATCTCTCAAGAGCGTGTATGAAGTAATCAGGGCCGCCGCCTACAGATTTGCAAAAATCCGATCGTGTCTTGTGACATAAGGCCCTGGGCTCACCTTGCCCCAGTCCTGCTTCCCGCCATAAGTCGGTTCAGGGCCCGCTGGTGACGAAAATATCTTACCTATATCAACCCGCCGCCCTGTGGCCACCGCGTCACGGATGACAATGTTCTGGTCCGTCAGGTTGGTGTCGCAACAAATTATCGTTGACTGGGCGCCGCAGGTGGTGCCGTTCGTGAAAACATCGTTCATCATTCGTTCCTTGCGTACTCGAGCTGCTGGACGATGACCTGCATCGTTATAGAAGGTAATGATGTGCATGAAGAACCTGGCCACGCCGCTAGTCTGAAGAGGGACCGCGACCTGGTGAATACGGCAGCGTTCAAAGACCCGCCTAGCTTCGATCGTCTTTGCCGCACAAGCTTGGGCGGATAAAGATTTGTGTTTGAGGAAGCCAACACCTCCGTGCACGCTCGAGTTGTCGAGGGTCGTGCTGGTGTTGGGTCTGATCTGCTGAATCGGGAGGGGCTTGCCACCCAGGAAGTCGGAGTCTTTGCCTGCTGCCTGCGCCACTGCCCTAGCCTGCGTTATTGGCGTCAATCGTGTCTCTTGGAGAGCAACAGTGTCAGCTTTTTTACTTTTCAGTAAACCGAAGATGGTACCCTGATGCTTTTTCCAACTAGTGACATTGACGGAAATAAGCGTAAGCTTCGTCATGGTGATCATCTTTGCGGGCTTTTGGATTGGCCATATCTGCGGCCTCGCTGCCTTGCCTGAGTGAGCTGATCTGCGAGCTGCTTCTTCATCTCTGCGATGGATGCCATTTCATCTTGCAAGCTTGCCTTCAGCGCGATCACCTCTTGCATTGACGCCTGCAACGAGGAAAGCCCACCACCGCGGGCCTCCAGGGAAGCTTCTACCGCTGCTACCAATGCTTGGGGCTGTGGTGCTCCTCCGCCTCCTCCGCTTGTTGCTGCTTGGTCCTGTTGCCTCATCGTTGGTGCTCGCCGAAGTGGTTGATAGAAAGAACCATTCTTCTGCTCCAAGGCTGAGCAAGCGAACTGCTGCATCTTTGCTGCCGCTAGTGCTGCACCTTTGCCCGTGATGGAGCTGGCCGCCTATTCTTTCGTGACGCCTTTGAAGAAGACCTCGGACTCGTCCATGGGCCCGTCGCGCGCGGCCTCCTCCTCCTTCGTAGTAGTTACCAAGATGTTCCCAATAATGAAAGTGTCTGACGCAGGTGGTTGATGCGCTCGTGCTTCGACTCGTTTATGTTTACCCCGCCGTGTAGCTGTAGGATATTGCACTGCCCATCCCAGTGTGTCAAACAACATCCTGGGCATAGCCTGCAGTGGATGCGAAGCTGGGACCTTATCTAAGAAAAATCTTGTGACTGGCGGTGGTACTTGCTCTCGAATAAGTCCCCATCCTTCTGCTTTGTCTCTTATTGCCAACCTTAAGCGGAAGCTCACTCCATCGCGATTGAGACGTAGACCAAATGTGTCACCCACTATATTGTCCAGTTCTTCTCTGCCCTCGTCCACCGTGTAGTATCCTGGAGTCTTCGCTGCAAGTGGGAGCCACGTCTCATCCTGCCGATCCTTCATCTTTCCCGCGTCGTCATAACCACAGGTGTCCGTGAACAAGCCATCTTTTCCTGAGTGCCTGCGAAGGAAATCTCGTACCGCCCCCCTCGTCGTAATGTCCACCCGCAGCGTTCTTGCTGTCTTGATTTCGCCTTCGTACTGCTTGATGCTGTTGATGGTGATGTCTAACTCTTCATTGGTGGCCTTGCCGCTCTTGAGTTGCTGCAAACGAGCCTGGAGATGGGATCTCGTTTCTTGATTGGCCTCTCGGACGGCATTCCAGAGTTGCTTCTTGTCTTCTTTTGGCGCGTCACTGCTCTTGAGCTTCCCGAACGCCTCCGTTGCCGCCTTTTGATGTTTACATAACTTCTTAAAGCTCGTTTCGCCATGGTACTCGCTGACCACCGCAATCATGTTCGTGAACTGAGTGGTCCAACCTGGTGCTTGTGGCGCCGCCGTCGCCATCTCCAATTTGGGTGGTTCAGTGTCGTCCACAGCAGCCAATGTCCAGACCCAACCTTCTCGTGTTTGCGCCACCTCCTTCTGCTTCCCTTCCTTCTTGATCGTCTTGAGACTGGGGATCTGGATCGGTGTCGGATTTATCTCGTATGCCGACGCCGCTGCCTTCAGCGTCGTAGAAGGAGTCGCCGTCGTGATCAAAATATAATTCGCGCAATTCAAGTCGACCCCGTCGAGATTCCCCAGTAGGGCGATTGCCTCGCTATCTGTTCTTGCAAGATAAACTCCATTCGTAGTTGGAGTAGGCGGCGTGCTCAATATTGAAACATTCCATACGTCTCGTAGCCGAACTCCGTCTTCGTGAAGTTTGTCTCCTTTGGCTGGTCGAGGGCTAGCTTGCGGGTCCGCCTTCTTTCTCTTATTTTTTGGAGGTTCATCTTCTCGTCCAGTCTGTCGTGCTTGCCACTGTTCGAGTAGAGTCTTGGCTTCTTCTTTATCGTTGTGGAACTGCTTCGAGACCTGGTTGAAGGTTTTCGGATCCGATGCCAGTTTCTTCTCCATCTCATTGTTCATCTGCATGTCCAGCGCGCTGCGCAAGATAGATACCGTTCGTGTGTTGGCTGTAATTCGTGCCGCCTTCCCTGTCTTTGGTGAGTAGGTGGGCGTATTTCCATGCAGTGCACGATGCTCACTCTGATTTTCCTGCGGGGTCTTGTGGCTCTTGGCATTCCGAACTCTCCGATACCACATCTGAATCGTCGGACCCGCATAGAATTCCCGAGCTTGCGTCCAGCAAAACTCGAGAATGCCCCTCTCCACACGCGTGTTTACCTCCTTGCGACCAAGTCCAACAAGGAGGGGCCCTGGGAGGGGGAACGTCCTCGTGGCGACTTTGAGCCAGGTCGAACCTGGACTTTGTACTGCGCTGCCCATCCCAGAGAAACCGATGTCCTCTGTGCTGCTCGTGTTTGAAATAGCCTCTGAGCCGTCCCATGAGAAGTTGTTGTCATCTGAGCTGCTCGTGTTTGAAATAGCTTCAGAACCATCCCAAGAGAAACTGTTGCCCTTCGTGTCGTTCATGTTTGAGATGTCCCTTGAGCTTTCCCAGGAGAGTCTGTTGTCCTCTAAGTTGCTCATGTTTGAAATAGCTTCAGAACCGTCCCAAGAGAAACTGTTGTCAGTCGTGTCGTTCATGTTTGAGATGTCCATTGAGCTTTCCCAGGAGAGTCTGTTGTCCTCTGAATTGTTCGTGTTTGAATGCACGCCAGAGCCGTCCCAAGAGAAACTGATGCTCTTGTTGTCGCTCATGATTGACGTCACTTCAAAATTGTCCCAAGAGAAACTGATGTTCTCTGGGTAGTTCGTAGTAGGTTGACCAAAACTGGACAACTGAACAAGTCCGCTGTACATATTCTGCCTCATGGTCCCCGTGACCTTGAGAGTGTAGGTAATCATCTTCTGCAAGCTGTAGCTTGACAAATCCATCAAGTTGATCAATACGCATATCACTCGATACAAGACATATACCACTCCGTTGATCCCTGGCGTGGTGTCGTTCTCATCTTCCCCTTGATTGAAAGTGCCCATCGAGAGCATGTTGGTGTTCTGAGGCGGCTTATCCAGATACGTTCCGCCTTGTTCCCCATGAGTGTGGATCGGGAGCGCCCCAGGTAGCTCCTGTTTGTCCCATTCATCTGAATTCATACTTCCTTTGAAGGTCTTCGCCAACACCCCGATCTCGATGATCTGCGTGTCGAGTCCCACCGCCACGACCTTGAAGACACCCTCGTCACAGAGCATCTCGGTCAAAGGCGCCTTCACCTTCGGCACAACCACGTAGCCGAAGTGGTGGGTATTTTCTGGCTTGATGTCGCGGTGGCAGACCTGCACCACTGCGTGCAGGTGCCACACTGCCTCGGCGCACTGCGAGGCGATCTTCACGACCCTGTCGATGCTCAGTGGTCGCTGCTTCTCCGGCTGAAGTGCTTGGCGGTGGTGCAGGCGGCGGTACAAGTTCTCTGGGCCCCCGTACTCCAGTCGAAAGATGATGTGCGTCGGCGAGTGGTATGTCTGGTGAAGGCGAATACTGTTCGGGTGACGCGTCTTCTCGTCGCTCAGCATCTGCATCACGCGGATCATGCGGTTGAGGTACATCAAGGTTATGATTTCCGTGATGGCCTCAATGGATACCACCTTGACAACCTGGACCCTGTTGCCCACCCCGGGCCTCTCCGTCAGCTTGTAGACAGACCCAAACATCCCCTGTCCGAGCTTGTTCCCGATGATGTAGCCGGGAAGCTCCTGCGGCTCTCCGGGCTCAAGGTTGTGGTCGACCGGCGGGATCTCGGGCGCCAGGCGGGCCCTCACGTAGTCGCACAGGGTCGCGTGCGCGCAATGCTGCAAATACTCCGCGCACTGCGTCCGCGAGCGGGTCTCCGCGACCATTTCGGTCAGGTTCCGCGAGAGGCTCGGCGACTTGCGGATCATCGAGCGCACGGCCATAGAGAGTCGCAGCCCCGCTGGCTCGCCGCACACGATGCCGTCCAGGCCCTTGTGCAAGAGATCACCCACCAGCTCTGGCCCTCACTAAGTCCGAGTTGTCCTGGCGTTGAGGGCCAGGCGCAGCGGAGTGGGGCACCCAGAACATCGGCGGGGCGTCCTGGCTGCCCGTATCTATGTTCGTGATGATGTCGCAGAGCCTCTTGACCTCGTTGCAACTGTTCTGGTTGCAGAACACCAGGATGGTGTGCAGCTGGGCCGAGTCCTCCCCGCTGAGCAGGGGTGTACCTTCGCGTATGTCCGAGTCCCTGGAGATCACGTGCCAAACGTCCTGGAAGGCCTCCAGAGGCACCAGGTTGCTGGTGCAGAAAATGCGGAGGCCTCCCTCGAAGTCGTCCTCGTTCAGGTCGCGCAGGCGGCTGTGAAGCCACGTCTGTGCGTGCCTCAAGTCGACAGGCCCGATTGCAGAAGAACGGCCCATTGCATCCCAGGCTGGTGCGTGGCACTGGCTGCCCTGAAGCGGGGCCATGCAAAGTCGGAACCCTCTGCGTACCGCAGCGCTGCCGAACTTGAGCCAAAATGGCTACGGAAAAAACGATTCGGGCACCTTGGAACGCTGTGGGCGAGGCGCGGCTGCTCGCATCCTGTGGCTGGAAAGCCGCCGAACACCGACGAAAACGTCCGCCCCGAAAGGAGAAGAGATGGGGTTTAGTCCGAAACAAATCCCTATTCCATAAGATGAGTCTTTCAGCGCTCATCCCTAGGATTGCCATCGCCATGGGTGCGACCAATCTCAAGGATAATGTCTCCCCGGGGCGCGTGCAAAACATAATTAGTTAGTTACAAGGTGCCGCTGATAATGCGGTCCAGGCAGCGGAGAGTTTGGTTCCACGCTAGATTAGTATTTCGAAAAACGCGATATAAACTTACATCTACGTATATGTATATATATATATATGTATACCCATACATGTCTGTGCACCCAAGAGAGGTCCACGAAACTCGCGCAACAGGCCTAGGAGGGCGCTCTAGAATGCTCTACAAGTGTCATGGCGGCTTTCCGCATATTGTAATGGTGCCGCCGGAGAGCTTCCTCACTGTTGAGGGCCGTGACTTTCAGACACCCTGCACAGGCTATCACGCAACCATATGTAGGGGCAATGCCGATAACCTGTAAGTGAGTGTCGCAAACTTCCCCCGCCCGAATGGCAGTCGGCTTGAACGCTCAACGTCATAAACATGCAGTAGCGGATGCAATGTTCAGTGCCGCTCTGGTTCCTCTAGCTTCGATATCTCGATTTCCTTTTTGGATACGTGCTGAGAACAAATTGTTATGTTGTACTGTAACCGGTGGCCTGTTGGACCCCTACGGCTTAGCGTCCCATGGGTCCCAATGGATCCCTACAGCTTCGAGCTCCATTGGCCCTGTCTGTCGCGCTCGGGCCGGTGGCTGGTTCCGGGTCCTCATGGCTTGCCTTTTTGGTCCACGGTGCCGCACGAGGCAGCCCCGTCTGTGCCTCTTCCTCTCGTATCCTTCCCCCTCGTTCTCTCTTGTTCCTCCTCCACCTTTCCCTGTTGCTCCTCCTCCACCTTTCACTCCTGCTCCTCCTCCCAGTCCTCTTCCTCCTCCTCCTCCTGCTCCTCCTCCTGTCCTCCCGCCACTCCCGCCAGAACTGTCTGAAAGGGCGGACAATAACAACGACGCGATTTGAACAAACGATGTCGAACGCGCATTCCTGAACAAGGCACAGTTGCACTGACGGATCCTCCTTGCGACACCTGGGCCATACAATTATCGGGATCTCTGTCTGTCTCTCTCTGTCTGTCTCTCTCTCTCTCTCTCTCTCTCTCTCTATATATATATATATATATATATGTATCAACTTGCTGGCGTCGCCGGGCGTGAGCCTGCCCTCGCTGCGCCTCGCCACAATGAACGTATCTGCCCTGTCGACAAAAGTTCTGCGCGACTGAAAAATATGACATTGGAGCCCATCGATGAGCCGAAGGTGTGCACCACGCCCAGAAAATCGCTGGACGGGCTCATTTCCCTCGTCTTCGACGGAGCCACCCAACTCCGCCTATAGGCACTGCGCGGCCTCCTGGCCCGCGCCGCCAGCTGATTCAAAATCGAATATATTTGCGACCCCCACGTACATAGCAAGCAAAAGCGAACTGCGCTGCTTGCAGACAACCAACTCATCGCGCGAACTGCATGACTGACGCGGAAAATCCGACAGCAACGCCCGCGCCACCTGGAACTTCCTGTCTCCCGTGACAAGGTCTCTGACCGCCACGACGTTCAGGCGCAAGTGATCGGGGCGCACGGGGGCTGATCGATGGGCCGACGGCGAATTGTCTCCCCCCGACGCGAGCCTCTCGGGGATCCACGTCGGCACCTGCGTCCGCGCGCGCTTGCCGGGCCACCCTCGCATCAATGACAGGCTGGAAAGGCGTGCGCAGTCTTTGCCGCTGGCAAAATGCCGTGGCTTCGTTCTGCCTGCCCCGACGCCCGTCGTCGATCCTCCTCCTTTCCCCAGGAGGCTGAACATGGCAGAACGCAGGAATCGGCGCCCGCTGCCCCGCGCAGAACTCTGCATCGATGTCAGATTCGTTTCGCAGCGGCGCCGCCCTTCTTGCACTCTTCCTCGCAACTGCTCCAGAAACTGACAATCCTCACTCGCGCGCGGGCGTTCGAATTCCGCCGGCAGCGCTCTGGCCCCCCCCCAGCAGCGCGCGCGCATGGGGGCCTTATACTCGGATGATTCACGCGCACCCGTATCCCCCACTACGCTGGCGATACCAAATCCGGCGACAAAACGCAACGCCAGCTTCTGGTCTGGCCACCGCGTGAGCACAGCCAGCGCGGCAGTGAGCCCAGCGTAGATATGCCCCGCCACGGCGCGCACTGTCAGACTCTGCAACTTCAATAGCTCCGCCGCGAGGGGCCTGCGCCGGCGACTGAGCTCTTGCCGCGCATGCATACTGTGCAGCCGAAACTCCCTCAAGTCGCGCAGCTCTGCGGCGGTGGACCCCGCCGCAAATTTCAAGTCATGCGGAGCGGCGACGTCTTCCCCGAACGGCAACTTGCCCTCTCCGCGAATTCAACCGCGGCGCGGAAATGCCACTCCTCATCCCGGCTGTGGCCCAGGAGAGGTGGCAGCGCATGTTTGGCCGAAAGCGCCCCTGCCTGTCGCCCCGCCGCGGCTTCCAGCATGGCAGACGCGCCCTGGCCCGCCGCGCTGCCCACTGAACCAGCGACGCTGCGCTCGCCCAGCCACTTGCGGAATTCGCGAACGGCGACTGATTAACGAGATCTTCCAAATATGGAAACGCAGAATTGTTCCGCCATTCCGCGGGGAACATGCTGACGACGCACTGCCGCAATTGGCGCTGCGACCACACCCTGGGGGAACGCCTCGATGCCCATCGGCGCCTGCGCAACCGGAGAAGCGCAGTCGCTCGGCGAGCCGCGCTGCCGCGCTCGCGCCTGCGGCGCCGACATGTCGGGCCCCTGCATGCCTGATAGTCGCGCTGACTGCGCCTGCCAGGGGCGCGCGCTCGGCAGGCCTCCGGCGGTAGGCGAGCACGACGGCCAGCGGCGCCCGATGCGCGACGGACCGCTGGCTGCCGCGCGCGATGCACATCGTTCGCGCCTCGACGTAATCCGCGCTGTCGCGACCTGCTGCCCCTGCTTCCGCTGGCTGCGGCCCCAACTGGGCGACGCCCGTGCGCGACGCGCGCGCTGTAAACGCAAATGCGCGCGCGCCGGCATAAGTGCGCGATGCGAGCCGGCATGTGCTGCCGCGTCTCTGCGCGGTTCCGCTTCGAGGTCGCTCTCCTGCGCCCCTGTGACATGGATGAGCCCTTTCCGCCCATGCGCTGCCGCTTCCTCGTCATGCTCAGCTGGTGCGTCGGCGCGCTCACGCGGAAAAGTGAATGCACAAGCGAGCGCGGGCGCGAACGCCCGCTCGGGGACGCACGCGGCGCGCCCAACGCCGTCGCGCGCCTGCAGCAAGCGGCGCGAGAGATCCTCTGATATCCTGCTCACCAGGAGATCACACGGCTCGGTCTTGTCACCGAGCCTCAAGCAATACCTCGCGTAAAACTGTGCACGGATGTCTCTCAGGTCGCTGTTGGGTAGGCGCGCGTCGAGGTCACCATCCTCGACGTCGCGCTCCTTCCGCGCGTCAGGAATCGTTGCGGCCTGCCTCGCGGCTGCCAAGGCCTGGCGCAGTCGCGACGAATGAATTCCCGGGGAAGAAAGGCCCTCGATCTTTTCGATGACCTTGGCTTCGATTTCCTACTCCGACGTGGCAAATTGCGTGAAATCAACCATGTTATCGAGACCCGCGACCGACGCCAGGTGGGTGGCCACCTTGGAGCCCACCGCGGTGACCGCGGCCCGTCGCCCACTTCCCCCCCTCGCAGCCCCTCGGCGTGGGCGAGGGGGGGGGCCTCGCTTTGCATCCGCGCCCCGAACTGCTCGCGCGGGCGACGTTGCCAAGGCGCCCGCGCGCGTGCATTATGTAGCACTCACCCCATGCCTGCCTGGGCCTAAGGTGCACGCATGAAACATTTAGCTGTCCCGAACGTGCGTGCGTGATGGCAATGCTTCTCACGTTCCTTTGCCAATACAGCATGCGGATCTGAACTGCGCTTTGAGCCACCTAAGGTCGCGGTTGACCGTAACGTTTACAAACATATTTAATGACCCCCTTTCAACCGCCCAACCGCCAAACCGACCATCCATCCGATCGTCCAGCCGTCCAACAGGCCAACCGTCCAACAGTCCAAGGGCCCAACCCCCCAACCATCCAACCGCCCATCCGTCCAACTGTCGTTGCCGCCCGACCGCCCAACCGTCCAACTGCCCAACTGTCCAGGCATTCAACCACTCAGCCGTCCAACTGCCCAACGGCCAACCACCCAGCCGTCCATCCAGCTGCCCATCCGCCCAAACACCCAAAAGTGACAACATTTGGGGGTTAATTCGCACCCCCCCCCCGCCGGGTGATAAGGAAATGGGACGGGGTAGGGGACTTGCATTTTAACAAATGCACCACACGGCTGGCACCACATACTTTGCACAACATAGACTACAACACATTGTTTCGTGTGTTCCCAAGCGTCCCACACTCCACGGGGCGAAAGGTAATCGAACCCCGTCCGTAACAAAAAACGGGCGTCGGGAATCAAACACCCAGCCAACACACAGCCGACGTCGCCGTCCCGCCAAGCAGGGGCTGGAACACCACTTGGTGCGCACGCGCGCGCAACCTAACCATGAGACACAAACTACGGGCGTTGGCCGCGATGGTCTGAAGACAGGTGAAACAAAATAAGAGGAGAAGGAAAAGGAGAAGGAAGAGGAAAAGGAAGCGGAATGCCAACTCACGAGCTCCAAAGGCAGCAAATACGCCTACTCTGCATCACGTAGTTTTCATCACAGAGGTTCCACCACCTAGCTTGACGGACGCAAATGCCACCGCATGATTAACACCGCATGGCTCGCACCGCGCACCTTGCACCACGTCGGTGGGACCACACGGCTTGCACCACATAGACTTTCACCACGTAGCTTGCACCAATTATGTTGAACCGTGCACAAACACTGTTTTTCCCAACGCAACTATTTTGGAGAGGGGGAGGGGGGACAGAGGGGATGACGCGAACTATAGATGAACAACATACCACTCGTCCCACTCGGTGCGCTCTTCGACTACCAGCTGAAAGCGCACAAGCCGACATGAAACATGTTGGACAACATTGACTGTAATAGCACCTCCCCGCGTCCGTCGCGGGGATTCTTCATTGGAGCCGCGGCTGACATGTAAACAATCACTGCGGTCGGAAAAGATACGTCTGGGGGCGATGCCACCCTGACTCGAAGGCAGCACCACAGGACGTGACGAGGGGCAGGGGGAAAGGAAAGAGGAGGAAGAGGACAAAGAGGAGGAAGTGGAGGAACACCCAAGCAGACCAGCATTATGTGACGTACCCGACACTCCCCGTCAGGCACAAAAGAACCAGCCGCAATTGAGGAGGGGAACAGGAAGGCAAAATGCGCTGAGACCACAATGCGTCCGCCCACGGCCGAGAAGGACGCAGCATGCTGAATACTGCATGGGTGAAAAGATGGCCCTGCTGGGATCGCAGGCAAACGGCAAAGGAAGACAGTGCGGGCTCGTTGGCGACTCCCTGGGCCAGGAGCGGTCGGCGAGACCGGGGTGCCCTAAACCAGCCACCTCCGCGTGAACCGGCGCCAACGCAAATTAACGCACGGAGTGCGAACTCCGCACCTCGAGTGAAGAGGAAAACCGAATAAGACGGAGGAGGAGGGGCGAAACAGAACGCCTCTGGCGGCCACCGCACTGCTGCAATGTTGTGTCGTCCAGCCGGCCTGAACCAACTGGCGCGGAGCTTAAACGAGGGAGGAGGGGAACCGAGGGGGGAAGAAGAAAGAACAAGGCGAGTGTCGTCTACATCTGCGCGCCCTCCAAGCGGTCGCAGAGCGCATCGTCATGATATGCGCACCTGAACGCGCGGCGTGCCTCCGAATGCCAACAGCACGAATGCACAATGTTCGGCATGGCAGTGCGCAAATCAGATGCTCCTGCCCCCAAGCCCCCCCGCCCCCCCCGTTGGGGGGCCGCAAGCCCGAGGACAGGAGGCCGCCCCCCAACGACGACAACGACGACGACGACGAACGACGACGACGAGCACGACGACGACGACAAGGATGCGGAGGGGGAGGGAGAAAGGAGGGAGGCCGAGAACAGGAACGGAGAGAAGGAGGGACAGGAAGAGGAGGGGACGGAGGGAGGAGGGAAAGAACGAGGAAACAGTCCCCCGCCCCCAAGCGTGGGGCCCCCTTGGGGAGGCAGGCGGCTGGCGCCAGCCGGCACCCAGCCAACCAGGGTCAGACAAGTCGTGCCTCCCCTGGCAAAAAAACGACAGCACGCACGTGACGATATCGGCCACGCGGCAGGGACAGCAAACGGCCCCCAAGAGATCCAAACTGGACGGGCCGGCATCCCCCAAACCAGCCGCCCGAGAAGAGACGAAGCGAAGGAGGGAGGGCGGAGGACGAGGACACACGAGGGAGCGAGGGGAAACAAAAATGCTGATGATATCGACTACTACTCTGTACGCAACGCCGCCTCCCAGACAGCTCCCCGGAAGGCGCCGTCCAACTGCTCGCTAGTAACACGCCCGTGCCTCAGTGACCTGTGGACACAGTACAGCGCGTATAAAGCCCTGCTCCATGCGATGGTCTCCGCGTCTGGCCAGTCGAAGCCCAGGAAGAGGTCCAACTCCCGCCCCGCGCGTGGCGGCGTCAGCCCGGCGCCTGCTGCCAGGAGCCGGCGCACCACTGAACAACGGGCGACATGCTGCCCCCATTCGAGCCTGCCACCGCAACCGAATAGACATGGAGCTTGGCCGTGGGAGCAGCGGCTGGGGCACCAGCCACCATCAAGTGTCCCCAAATAAGCAAAGCTTGCACCATACACAAAAAGCACGACGCAGGTTGCAAGAACCTACTGCTTGGGGTCTACGCTGGTGAACATCAATATCGAATCGCATGTCGGCGCGTATCCCTTATCAGTTCTATTCGCAAGCGGATGTGGAATTCGATTCGGGGTTCGATGATGTCTCGACGTGTACTACGATGTACAATTGGAGCCGCATTTCAACTTGCAGTTCCATTACACTTACATTGGCGTGTCGATTCACACGTTGGGATGCAGTTTGAATTGGAAGGCGATGTGGATTGGATATGCACTTCGATATTCATAGCGCTTGCAATTTAATGTTGACTATGAGTTGCGGACAACTGCAAGACGACCTCGGGACAACCAAAGGGCAATCCACGGGACAATATCCCACGACCCACCGCGAGGCAGGAAAATTAGCCTGGCGAAGGACCCAACCATACTCAGATGTGAATACCGTTGGTGTATGCACCGCATTCGGAGGAGCTCCTGAGATGGCCACGGAACGTGTGAGGGGTGTGTCAGAATTTGTCTGGTGGGCGCATGCGAAAGCAGCCGCTGAGAGGTGTGCCGAAATTGGTGCGGTGGGCGCATGCGAACGCAGCCACTGGCGCCTTCGGTGGAGCTCCCTGTGGGGCCACGAAACGTGTGACGGGTGTGCCGAATTGGGTGTGCGCGACGCATGCGGGCGGTGGCACTGGCGCCTTCGGTGGAGCTCCCTGTGGGGCCACGGAACGTGTGACGGGTGTGCCGAATTGGGTGTGCGCGACGCATGCGGCCGGTGGCACTGGCGCCTTCGGTGAAACGTGTGACGGGTGTGCCGAAATGAGTGTGCGTGACGCATGCACGGTGCAGGGAGGAGGGGTTCGGTTCGGCCATCCTCGAAAGGGGGGTCATGCCCCCTCAGCCGGGGGAGCGCGCCTCTAAAAAGCGGCACAGTATAGGGGAGGAGGGGAGGAGGAAGGAGGGAGGGAAGGAGGGAAAGAAGGAGCGCGGGGATCGTCTCTTCGAAACGAGAACCCAACACCACAAAATGGTCGGGAACAAACCTGTTTGCCCAATCTTGCCCTACCTTCGACCGGAACTCCGCTTCCCTCCCGCAACCGTTCTTCGCCCGCACGAGTAACACACGTACACACCAGAACCGTGTTCCTGGTTGCAACCACTTCATTCTCACCCGCCAACCTCCGAAGACGGAGTGGGTGGATGACGATGTCCGAAAATCAGCTTTGCCACATGACCGCGCAAGATGCCGCTCACAGGAAAAAGGGAATGGAACTCTGTCGTAAATCTGGCCACCAGAGTAAATGTCACAAGGGATGCGTGGCCCAACGCAGCTTTTTCCGTCAACGATTCTAGGAGACGCTGACGTCATAGTTCCCGCCGCGTCTCACCAAGCCCTTCAGCGCTACGCTCTTGCCCCTCGACAATCGCATCCTCGACACTGCAACAAGGCATAAGATGATTGAAGTAATGTGGAGAAAGAGGAAGGGACAGACAGACAACAATCACGTATGAGGCCACTTCTAGATTGCCGGTGTCCGACACCTTCTGCAGCCTTCACCCTCCACAATCCTTCCCTCTGCGCAGGTCGGCTGCTGCTTTGGCACGGTTCCGAGCCATCAGGAAATTAGGAGCTTCAAGTGTAAACAGGTTGCAAAGTGCAGATCGGGAGCGGCAAATGAAACAGCGGCAGAGTAGACATCTACAAACACCTCCATCTGACAGGCGGCCCGTCTAAAAATTCCAACGCGTGCAAAAACAACTCAGAAGCACATCGTGCATTGAGGTAATACATTGAACAAGTATATCATAGAAATGAGCCAATGCGATTCGCGCGGCGCCTCAGACGCAAAAGCGACTCTGACTTGCATGTGTCAATTTGGCAAGCGCCCCATCTGGGCAAGGAGGATCAACAACATCGAGACCAAGGAAACTTTGCCCGCGTGGACTCTACACCGTAATGTTGTGCAGTGAATGTGTAAGCTCAGCGGTGCAATCAGTGGTGCAAGCTGTGTGGTGCCAGCTATGTGCCACAACCTGTTGTTGGTGCAGCGCATGTGGTGCACACCATGTGGTTCAAACTATGCGGCGGAGGCTGCGTGGTACAACGCGTGATACAAAAGATTCGTGATCTCGCACGTTACTGGGAACGCCCCCCCTTCCCTGCCCCCCACCCCCTGTAACCGTTGCGGCTCGCGCTGGCGTCGTCTGGGAATGGCTAGGGGTAGCTAGTTCCCAGACGGCGCCGGCGCCAATCGTACGCATGCGGACACACGGGGGACTCAGGCAACGCACGAGAGGCACCCACCACGTGGGGTGACCGGGCGAAAAACTCTCGGAAGCTAGCCCGCGCACTAGGCGCCCACGGGCGGCGCACATGCGAACATCCAGGGAACCCACCCAATCACTGCAGTAGGGCGCAGACGCTGCAAAAACTGATTGCTCACATGCAGAATCTAAGCTCTGAAGCCCACCAACTACACATATTCGAAATATGCAGTCTCTGTTTGGAGACGAATGCGTTCGAAGCAGAAACTACTCCAACGGCAAGACACCGCATGATACCATGTTTAGCTTGCAAGGGTATCCTTCCGCTCCCTTCCCAAGTTCCTCCTGCCTCACCCTTGTCCTCATGCCGTATCCTGCTCCTGCTGCCGAATCCTCCTGCCCCCTACCGCCGCGTCCTCATCCTGCTTCCTCATCCTCCCCATCCCTCCTCCTGCCCCCTGCCTGCTGATCCTCCTCCTCCTCCTCCTCTTCCTCCTCCTGCCTCCTCCTAGCCCCTTCCTCCTCTTGCCTTCTCCTCCTCGTCCTCCTCCTCCGTGGGGGGGGGAGAAGAGTCCTCAGCGCCACCAGCCCAACGGTCACCCGGGCAAGGTGCCGCAGAGGGGCTGGTGCGTCAAACCACACCGCCTGGACGGGAAGCGGGGCCTCCGCCTTCGACGAGGGGCCCCGCCTGAATCCAAGCCCGGGGGGAGGAGCAGCAACAGATATCAAGTTCGACCCCGATTGCAAGACGAACGTCGAGGCCGTCTGGGACGCGGCGGTGGCCAAGTGCCCGCAGGCGCAGCTGACGCTGCCGAGCCCGGCGGACATCGAGAAGCTCATTTGCGAGGTCGCGCCGCAAAAGCAGGTCGAGGACAAGGCCGTTGACGAGATCTGCCAGGTGATCACGGAGAAGTTCCCCAACATCAAGTTCAACCCCGACTGCAAGACAGACGTCGAGGCCGTCTGGGACGCGGCGGTGGCCAAGTGCCCGCAGGCAGAGGTTGAGGAGGCCGAGGACAAGGGTGAAGAGAATATAGAGGAGGAGGAGGAGGAGGAGGAGGAGGAGGAGGAGGAGGAGGAAGAGGAGGAGGAGGAGGAGGAGGAGGAGGAGGAGGAGGAGGAGGAGGGAGGAGGAGGAGGGGGAGGAGGAGGAGGAGGAGGAGGAAGAGGAGGAGGAGGAGGAGGAGGAGTGAGATGATAGGCAGGATCCCAGTAGGATTGTAGAACTTCAGAGGCTCCCAGAGGAATCTTTAGTCGCCACCGCGGGACGCAAGCTAATCCTTTATGGTGTTATATTTTTATAGCCACGGATCGTAAACATGCTGTGGCTCAAGTGCTGAATAGCCCGTTCTGGTAGCGGAGCTATCAGCTCCGCGGGCCACCCCGGTCGGCCGGCCCACCCCCGCGCGCTCAGCAGCGCGCGCCCGCGAACCCGCAGGCCGATATCCGGATATCAAGTATTTACACGAGTGGATCAATTTCGGCGAGCACGCCGTCAGCGTTAACCACGAGTGGATCGTTCTCGGCGAGCACGCCAGCAACGTTAACCAGGAGTGGATCATTAACGGCATCCCGGATATCGATCGCAGGTACAACGAGTACCACAAGGCGATCACGCATGAAGATCTACGGAGTTTTCCTGTTATACACCTTTTTCAGCGCCAACATGGCGCAGCAGCAGCAGCAGTTCAGCGGAGGCCCTGGAGGCAACAATTTACAGCTCGAGGAGCTCACGAAGTTCGTGCCGCCAGGATGGCGGCCACATATTCGCGGATACACGCTCAGACGATATGCAGAAGCTTAGACTCTGGTGGACAGATGAGGATCGATACGAACGCATTGGACCATTGATAATATCTCGCCTTCAGGGCGCACCTGTCACGGCGGCGATGAGCTTCACTATGCAGCGAGACGGAATACAACATAGAGGAGACGAGGCCATCGCGCTGCCACCGATCCCCGCTAATCCAGCTCTTGGCATCGCAGCGGAACAAGCAGGAGTTAAAGTATTCTTAGAACAGCAACGGGCGCGATACGAACTACATGCTCGACTCGTTCTTCGAGTGTCAGCGAGGCCATCATCAAGACCTACCTACGTGGATTTCGAGTTTCGAACTGGCCTTCGAAGACGCAGTCGAGGAAGGAAACTTTATCATGAACGGCACGGGTCGCAGTCATTTCCAATTGAAGCTACGGGGGCTCTCCGAGAAGAAAACGGACGATTTGAAACTACACATCGCAGGCGACCTCACGCAGTGCCAGACGCTACGCGGATTGATGATGAGATTAAGCAAGCAGGACCAAGTGGGTCAGCATCATGACTGGGCTTGGTATGGAGAGTCAGGCGAGGCAGATGACACCGCAAAAAGAGACGACTGGTACGACGCCTATGACGAGAGTAAGTACGGGTGGGGCTATGACGCGGACAGCGGGTGGACAGTCACTCAAGACAGGGAATGGTATTACCAGGAGTACGAGGATATCTGGGCGAAATATGACACGGGCGGCAATCTGACGGAATACCTCGAACCTGATCAGGACGATGACTACACCGAGACCTACTTCGGCGGTAAAGGTAAAGGACGCGGTAGATCCCGAAAGGGCAAAGGCCGTGGTGGTAGTCGAGGTCGAGGTTTTCGCCGTCGTTTTCCCAAAGGCAAAGGCAAGGCAAGAACAAGAGCAAAGGAGGAGACAATGGTCGCCAGGGCGGCTCCAGTCAACGACATGAAGGATGCAATATTTGTGGCAGTCGATGGCATGATCGGAATGGTTGCCCAGCAGAAGATAGACGCTCCTCTTCAGCAAGTTCAGGCCCTTCACCGAGTCCATCACCGAACAAGTCGACGGGAAAAGGCAAGCGCTACGCGAACGTGATCAGATATTCATCACCAATTCCTGCACCGTCGCCAACGCCCACCATGATGACGACGAGACCGCCAGGATCGTGGATCAATATCGAATCGCAATCAACATCGACGGCAAGCACGATACCTGGGGCACGGCAGCCGGAGCAATATCGACTTGATCGAGATCAGGGATTGGTACCGGAAGTCGCAGAGCAGGAAGTACCTGAAGGAGACACATTGGGGTTGCTGGACAGAGCGGGTCAGCGAGCAAGAAGGAGTAGAATTCACCGATCCTTGGAGATACGACGCCATTCCCAATGGAGAGCAGACAGAGGAAGCCGACACCACAAGCTTCGAGTCCATCGGTCGCACCACTTTCATTGGCACAGAAGCTAAATAAGCAGTGCTCCCTCGTGGTCATCAGGAACGGATGCGTGGAGACAAATTCAGGAATGAATCACTCCAGTAGTCAGAGCGTTGAGTACCGCAATCAGGTCGCTCCTTCCAGTAGTCAGCGCGATGAAGCTATCGCGCAGAATCTGAGCAACCTCTCCCGGGAAAAATGCAACATCACGACGATCGAGGATGACCCCTACCTGGTTCGACACACAGTTTTTTGTTTCTATATAAAAAAACGTCCTAGGCATGGACTCATTATCGATCCAGGAGAAGCTAAAGGTTTACTTGATACGGAGACGCTCCTGGAGTGGAATCGAGATCTTTATCGACCTTACATCCTGAAATATGAGATCCAGAATCCCATGGCGACTTTCACGGGCATCAACGGTCAATCAGACGCATCGCGTGGAGAGTTTAAGGGACAGGTATGGGTCGAAGGCATGCAAGATGGCTCGACCTTTCAGGCGGATATCATCGGCGGTCGTGGAGCTCGTTGTCCTGGACTTCTTCCGAACAGTACCCTTATGCGGCAGAAATGCATTCTGTTCGAGAACATCTCTGACAACGGCCATGGCATCCTGGCCTTCGTTCCGGATGAGAAAGCACCCACTATAGCTCGAGCACTCTTGGCAGATTCTGGACATTACCTGTTACCCATCGATGTGGATCAGAAACAATCGGAGAAGACGGTGCGTCACATGCTCGCGTTGATCGGGCGACGCATCGATAAGCTCTTCACGACCTTCTCCTACCAGAGGCGACCTCGAGTTCAGCTACATGTCGCTGTGTAGAATCAGAATGAGATATGGACGGCTATTTCGGATACTCATGAGGAACCAGTGCAAGTACATGCATCCTACAAGAATTTGGACGCGAAGGAATTCTATGATCGATGGAACAGCTTTGACAGCCCGACGTATT